CGAAATTACAAAGCCATTTCGAGAAAAATTACAGCAAAGTAATAGAAAGGCGGGAGCGATTTGGTAATTTCGATTCTCAGACCGTTTGTTAATGACGGGACATTAAAGTGAGCACACTCTCTGTTATTATTTTAATTATAATCCTACGCTTCTGAAGACCAGGTTTGGTTGAGGCGATTTTTTCTTACGAAAATTTTATGGGGGATATTCTCGTATCGTCTATAATTATTGTTAATGCACATTATGGAGAAGGTGCATCGTAAAATTTCCTAAATAATCACGAGGAGCCCTCCGAAATTTATGTCTTTCGTATATTGGACGAGCTTTTCTTTACGACTTTAATGCCTTTTTGAAGTCTTACAGGAGTCTCTCTAATGTCAGCCTGGCTGTAAAAACGAGAATAAACACTCAAACTGTCGTTACCGGAGTTAACGCGCTAAATCAATACACGAAACAAAGTTCCCGGAATTTCGATTATTAATCGACATTAGAGTCGAATTCGTCGATAACGCACGTAAATCACGTTCTTGTATTATCATACGATCGATAGTTGTTGCATGTAAAGACGTTTGTCAAACAAACAGACAAGTCATTGTCTGAAGAAGAGAGCCCGCCCGGCTGCGTCCGAAGAATGCGAAACAATCAGGTAGAAAGAGGCCATCAAAAGGCCAATCGATGTTTATAGTCTGTCAATTAAACGAAAAACTTGCGGCCTTTTTTCATTGTTTCCAGAATTTCGCGGAGATTAATAAACGTCAGGCAACGATTGTCAGAAAACATTAATTTTCCGATTATCGGAAAGTCTGACAGCCAGTCTTCGATATCAGCCTGATTGGGGAGAAGCGATCGAGCCCTGTCTTTGACATTTATATTTTCATCGATTATTTATGTTACTATTTATAGCGGCACATCCACAACTTGGGCAGTATTTTCCTCTCTAGAGCGAATTAACACTACTTTTTTGGACATATCAAATTATACAGACCAACAAATTACCTAAAACATTTCTAGAGACATTTTTAGTAACAAAACCAAAAATAACCATTTGTTATGTATATTATTTTTCTATAGCTAGTAGGGATAGACCTATGTCTTGTTCAGGTCCTAATGGCCCCATTTACCAAGCCACTGCAATCGGGTTGCATTTAATTGCCCCTTTGACAAATTAAAAGATGTTATCTTGGTGAATAACATCGAGGGTGTGAGTAAATTTGAGTCACTCGATATAATTGTTCCGGGATTACTGGCAGAGCTGGTTGATTAGTCGTGAAGATTAGATCCAAAAATAAAAATCTTGGCCTTGTGGAGTGGTTCATCTCGAAAGCAGAGTGGCCGCCTCCTGTCTGTTTGTTGTGAATGAGCTGTTATAATTAGTAAAGATGATTCGATACATTATACGGCGTGTATCATCACGACTAGTATTGTTTGAGTCTTGAGCATCGATAAGGCACCAAAGAATAGCTTCGTCTCAATTAAAATTCAGCGAAATTGCATTATTCACGTCAAGCACAATATGCCGTCATGTGAATCGAGCACGTTATTAATACCGAAAAATTTACATATAAAAATGTGGAATAGAATTGTAAATTATACATTGTTTTCCCTTTATAAAACATTATAGAAACGTTCAACATACTGATTAAGTATTGTTTGTCGAAAACCAGTTCTCTGGTGCTTTATGTCGTCCACGATTCAAAACCGAGAACCTTATTCAAATTAATTTTTTATTTAAGCAAATTGAAACGGCTCGATTTCGTTATTATCGTATTCGATCGGAATTTAATTATTTTCGAGTGGATTTGGTGATCTTTTCCCTTGTTACCGAATGGCAATTGTGAACGTTTTTCAAGGCTTTGTCGAGGAAAATTGTCTGGAGAATAATACTTCATGGAGTGACCGTACGATAACCTATACACGCGATAAGACACAACTATTCAACTTTGCCATCAATTCTCAACAGCCGGTTCCTTGTAATTAGTTTTCGGGATTTGATGAAAGGAGCGGCTTTTTACAGGTTTTCGGGGAGCGCTTTGTTGTCGACAGGAAGGATACAGACAAACAATGCGAATTAGGTTAACAATATGGAGAAAAATGGGTAATTTAGAATACATTAAACATGTTATTTATTACCACGTGGCTATTCAACCGGTCTACAATAAATTTAAACTAGATGAAATCTGCAGTCTATGATTAATTATTGTGCCGCGGTCTGATTTACGATATGTAAATGAGCAGCAGTTAAAAATTACATTTGCATACACATTTCAGAATTAAAGCAAAAATTTGATAATTTTAAAATTTCGTTTGTTGGTACAGCAAGACCAAAATACGTCAAAAAATTACTAATAATGAAGATTTTTGGACACGAAAGGCTAGTAAAACATTTAAATTATTCACAAAAAAAAATTGCCGCCCGAGCAGGGACTTGAACCCTGGACCCTTGGATTAAAAGTCCAATGCTCTACCGACTGAGCTACCCGGGCTGTTACAAATAGATTAAAAAGTCGGCTAGACGCCTCAAACCGTGACTTAAGTCGATTTATCCCCTCTCCTATCGTAGAGTCGGTCTCACACAGCACATATTTGCACTAAACTATTTTATCTATTTACTTGTTATCAACATTGACTTCTCCATGTTTTTTGTTCGAATTTCCGGCTGTAGTAATGAGGTAACGTAACACCTTCAAATCTCGAACACCCCAACTCATCTGAAAATAGATAGTTAGGTGAAGAGGACTCATCACCCTCAGCATAATAGAGCTTTTTCAAACTGGGATTACAGCTTTAATCCATTAGTGAAAAAAGGTCCATTTTCAGTCAATTATCACGTGTTTAAAGCAAATAAGAGTATTAGGTCGGTGGGTCTAAATGGGGCACACAGTTACCGAAACTGCGTCTTGAGACACATGTTCTAAACTAACCCATCATATATTTATGGCCATTGAAACAGAAACCTTTTAGAACCTTGTACTGTTAAGTGCTTTTTAATGTAGCCCAGACATCTTCCTGCGTTCTAAACTTCTATTTAAGATAAACAGACAAATGCATCTTGAATATGTACAACAGCTGAAACAGGTAAAAGCCGACCAGGGGTAATAATTTAAAAAAACAACCCCCGTGTCCGGCCTACCTGACTGCGACCAATTAAAACGCACCGGAATTGATTGAGGGAACTTAAAATTCATGTCGAGTGGAAGAATAATAAAGAGAAGGGGCCAAGGCAAATAAAAGTAAAGGAATTAAAATACTCGAAAACACTTGTTCGAAGTTTTGACAACATCGTCGGCCTACGCACGCTTTTCTTTAAATTCCCATCCAACGATGGGAAGAATTAACATCTCGACGTTTGCCAACTTCATCTCTTTCAAGCCGTTTCGAATCTCGACTCGGAACTGATTCGGATTGAGTTACAGGTTGAGGATCGACTTACAAACGCCAGCTTCCTTGTTATCGAGAAAAATATTATTAGAATTCAAGTCTGTTTTTCTTCCCTCGATTTATCACCGCAATTAATAATTTGATTTGTGTTATTGTCTTTTTTATTTATGTATGTATTCCCCCTTTAACAATTAGTATCGTGTTTTACAATCCTTGGTGATAAAATAATAGCGTAATTAAAACCCGCGATAACCCGACAATTAATAATTATTTTTAGACTATCGAGAACTTTACTTTCTGATCGAATCCCCGACCTAATCATCCTCGATTACTGCTCCGTGTTTACCGAATTTAATGCCAATTCTGAACTCGAAGAGGGCCATTACGGTGAAAAGGAAAACATAATTAAATTTTCGTTAATGCAATCTTCTTGTACTCTGCTCTTTTTGTTTGTTTGGAAGGGTTTGATACTTAGCTAAACAGAATTAACTTGTACAGACATTTATAATTAGAGCGACTTTTTCTTAAGTGCCTTCGAGCCAATTAAATTCTTTCTTGGGGTTCCGTTCCATAAATCCACATGCACTGAATTGCTAATTTATTGGGCGAAAATGTGAATTATCTTCATTTTATGGCGCTTCACCGTAATTTCACTTGGCTCATTGTCAAGTTGCTTAAAGCCAATCGTAAATTACCAACTACTATAAATTTAATATCTGCACTCTACATAAAAATGGCAAAATCGCAGAAACGCTTTATGAGCTTGCTTTGGATTTATTATTAAACGGCTTGAGTTGCAAAGTACTTATTACAGCTGTCTCGGCAAAAGAAGTCAAAAATTTAAATTGCTTATGCAGGGTTAGATTTTATTACATATTTAGGAAATAAAAATAGTGGGATAATCATAAAAAACTTTAAAAATTATAACGGTAAAGTTGAATTTTAGGGACCTTTCTGGGGCCAAGTTACCCTACTCCGGGTCTGACTTTTTTTTATACGTAATTTCATTAAATATCTTAGTTTAATGGCCTAGCATCTCTGACAGATGCCCAGGTGACTCTTTCCACGCTTGATGCAACCCAAACCCTTGACCTCATGGATTAGATCCCTAGTAAAACGGATCAAGTAAATAAAACCCTCTCCTATTAAATTACTCTACCGTCCCACAAATTCCAGTATCGTAAAACAATATCATCAAGACGAGATAACGAATCGCCCCAGACACATCAACCCGAAGTGTGTGGGTCGCCCACGGAGGCATTGTTTTTATCGCACGTTTTTCTTTAATATTTATTACCCCCGTTATGGCAGCGTTTAGCATTACTCCACTAACCAATTATATTATTTCGATTTATGGTTCCTCATATGACCGTTTTAATTTAGCAAAAACCGCCCCCGGAATTCGCCAAAGCGTCGCCACTTTATTTATTGGGTCTTCGAACTCGCCAACTTGCACCCTTGAGCGCATTAATAATTCACTCCGAAAAATTTTTTGATAAATAAATAATTCAGTCGGGATTTTTTCAAACCGAGCCATCCATCACCCAGAGTTGGTCCATTTCCCTCCTTAAACTGATTTATCTGAACCATTCCTCGACTCAATGCACCGCTTTTTGTTGCAGCTTCTGGAATCCAATAAGTGAAGTGTCAGATGCGATGTGACAGACAGACGAAGATGCGCTTGTGGTGCCAGTGATGTCTGTGTGCAACAGCCCCTAGAGCACAGCCCCGTTACCATGGCGCGGCCGGAAACCCCCAGCCATGGCCTGTCACTCCTGATATTGGCATTTTTTCTCGGCATTGCTGCCACTAATCAAGGTTGGTATATGAAATATGTAGTGATGAGCCACACGCGATGCCCGGTGTCACGTGCACGCTTTGGAACCGCCATACTTAGCCATAGGCTCATTCTTTATTGATGTTACATGTCGGACTATAATTGAACGAGACTAAATTCACGAAACGGACGAACTTTACTTTGTTTTTGGGTCAATTTTTGTGTGGGTGGAGGCCTAATTACAGTCTTCAATTTTGAAAGTTTAGATTACACACATGTCCTTTTTGACGTACATTAAACCAGTAATCAAACTATTTACGGCCTTATTACTACTCCCTGATAAGGAGATTTTGTCGATAAAAGCCAATTTACTGGACAAGTGGACTAGTTGGCTAAAGTGATTTTCTCGATGTACTTAAACATCGATCTTAAAATTCAACATTTATTGTCCGTTTATGGCTCAATCAATAATACGTCTGTTATCTAATCATTACAGAATTATTAAATAAAAATGTTATTTCCTGAATTAGTACTTTCGTATATAAACTTTTTATGGGGGAACCACAACAGGAAAGTAAACAATAAAAATACAAATTACACATCCGTGACGGAAGTTGCTACTAAAAGGTAGACTTCAGGAAATTTATTTGTATTTGTTATGAAAGTGCGAAATAAAAATATGATAACACCTATTTTTAGCATTTTAGGTATATACATTGCCTTCCTTGTTCTTTGCATTAGATTATTAAATATATTTTTTCTACCACCCTAACAGAAAATAAGTTTTTCCACCCTAATTTCCGAAAGGAAAGTGTCAAATTTTTTACCTCCCTGGTAGGTAAAAATTTTTCTCCCTCTTCTGTCAAAATTACATTAAAAATATATGTAACCTCTCAGGGAGATAAAAATTTTATTATACCTCCCCATAGAATCGGAAAAATGTGCTGCTAGATGTAATGTCGAAAATGAGATATTAAGAAAAAATGTTATTTTTGAAGTTTTTATTGCTGGATCGTAGGGAGAATTATATGTATTACACGGAAGGATGGTGTTTTTTTTTCTGTATGTGTAGTTATTGCCCTCGACAAGTCTCCGACAGTAATTTCCACGGGAAATAAACATGTTTTTTTATTTTTAATTGTTGAATTTGAACACATATTAGTTTTTGAATTTCAAAACTGTTTTAAAATTATCAGTTTTTAATTAATTCCTAGGTAATTAACTTTTTTTAGATGTTTATTCATTCTAACATGTGTAATTTTGATTTTTATTTATTTTGTCAATATTTACTTTTACTTTCTGTTTCATAATCTACTTAGATTGCAAATTCTTTGTCCCTAAATCTAGATTTGTCAATTTATAGAATTCTAATAACGGTTACATTTAATAATCATGTAATCTAAATTTGTAGATATCTAAATTTTTATTTTGAATTCTCAATTTTTTTTTTAATTGTTTTAATTTGTGATATAAATTCTTCTTCCGCTACATTATTTTATTTTACGCCTATTTTTTGTTTTTTGTTTCTTAAACCTGACTAGTTTTTCAGTTAGCCCCTCTAATTGTGTTAATTAACAATTTAACATGATTAGAGCATGTGTGTTCAATTAATGACCCACCGGACACTTAATGCTCGAAAGCTCCTCTTCCCCAGACTCATCACATAAACAAACCGCTCATCTCTCATTATTGTTGAAAGTGTTCACAGCTTTAAGACACAGAGATGCCCCTGTGTGGTTAATAGTGTTTCTATAAATTATGTATATTGAAAATTCTGTAAGCCCGAGAACACGCACAAAAATACAGTTGAATGGTACCCTGCCAGAGCACATTTCCGTCTTCCCATATCAAACCACACATGTCGGTGAAGACTTATACAGGACGGACAATGAAGCGAAACCTGAGTTCGCAGCAGCAGATGGCATTACAAGCTTCCACCGTACGCGAATTTACGCTATGAATTTAATTATACCGAGCCAGTTGTCTGATTGAAAAGAAGAAACCGCAGAGCTTTGTCTTTCTTGATGTCTTTTTAAAAGCATTAATTAAGTAATTCTTGACATTTCGGTTGAAATGAATTGTTCGTATTGCAGATGACGCATTTTACCCATAAAACTGACCGCTGTGGTAGGCGGCAATTGTACGTGCTTGTGGGTGTCGTGTGGCACCAGACAAAACAAATTCTGCGACAAAGTTGAAATTCAATCATTAAAAAGCAAAACATGTAACAATGTGTGTTGGAAAATGCCAGATTACTGCACTGTTTGTCATTTTCAGCTTAGGGAGGTTTAATTATCGCCTTTCGGTGTTCAAGTTTATTAATTTATTTCGACGTCGTTTTGTTTTATGCTCGGAGATTCCTGCATAGGATAACGCTGCCGCGGCGACGCCAGCTAATTGTAAAATATCGCCTTGTAATTGTTAGTCTTGGCGAGAAGTCCAGCGATATGATTGGTTATTTATTGGTAATTTTCACATAAAACTGCTCGTTACGGCTTAATGGAAGTAATGAGATATTTCAACGCAGATCCACTCGGATTCGGAGCCGACAAAGATCATGCCCGCGTGAATTAACGCCAACCCTTCGGATGAAACTATACTCCGGTAATTGATTATTGATGTAAACATAACGGCACAGTAGCCGATCCGATGGGAAATACCAACAAGCGAAAGGTTTATAGACCAGGCAGGCTTCCAAGCGGCTTTTCAACTATCAAAAAGTTATTTCTGACACCAAAATTATTAAACAATCAGAAAAATTGAAATAGGTTGCGAGGAATTAAGCTTTACAAAAGTTTAACTTTACACAAATTTCATCAAAAGTTTGCCCAATGAAATTCAATAATAATGTAAAGTCAGTTTTTTCTTTACATGGAAATTACCAAGTCAAAATTTTGGTGAAAAAATTGGTAGCAGCTTGTCTCCGTAGCCATAAATTCTGTTTGCTCCTTGTTTTTGTTTCTAGAAATTTTGTAAAAAATTATGGTTATGTTTTGATGTTGTCAAAATTTTGACTTTTATAAATGCTCTGTGCCTGTTTGCTCTTTGAAAGCACTATAATTGAATATCTGAGGACAGACATCATTACCTAAGGTCTAAGGGCAGAATTCAGTGCTAATAATTTTGATAGAAACACACAGCAAGTAAGTATGTATGTACAATGTTGTGTACAAAAATGAGATTCTTGCTACAAAAACTTTGAAGAAAAAGGATGTATATACAGAAAAATGTTATTTAGCAAAAGATACAAATAGGTATTATTATCATTGACAATAAATTTTGTGTAATTTATTGAAATGAGCTCAAAGTTGATGCATTTTATAAATTCTTCTTTCGCTTTAGTTTTAAAATTGTTACTTTTTCAACTCGTTCCTCAAAAACGATGCACGAGACAATAATTTAATTGCGTTCTTGCCGAGGTTCTTTGTTTATTTTGTATTCGTGCCAATTTCTTGTTAAAAATTGAGAATGTTTAGCAAACTTGCATTACAAATTGCGTCTACATTTCAACGGGCCCTTTTTCTAACTTCCTGCTTCCAAATTTTTAAAAACTGTTGGCGGCACCGAAATAGTTTTTTTTGGTGTTTTCGTTTCTAAATTTTCTTAGACGATTTTTTTATGTTGACGTTTAATGACATTGTTTTCAAATTAATTCAAAAAACCGGAACTGCCAACTTCTTTTATTAAAATTACCATGAATGAATTTACTAGTGGTGCCAACGTTAAGACTGTTTGGTTTTTGTGACCAAAGATGAGCCTTTGATGTGTTAAAGGACAGAACCTTTCTTAATGTTGTTGTTATTATTATTATGAGTATTAGTAAGAAAATTGCAGCTCCATTAGCCTTTCCTCGAATTCTCGCTCTGCGTTTAGATTGTTTGGTAAAAAAGCTTGGCATTTATTGTAAAATCCGGGCTATGTAAAGCTCCATATCCCGCCATCTCGTTCATCCTGGCTGCACACTGCGACAGGACATCGCCGTGTTGCTGTCACATAAACGGCTTGCGTTGGAGCTTTACTCGATGAAACAAAACTTGTTGGCAATAACTGAAAACGTCTTGCATAATGAACAAGAACCCGAAAGAGGCAGTCCATAACCGGCGACTCTTGATTTTTTTCTAACCAAATTAAAATTCAAGTCTGTTAATGTAGCTTTTTCTTTTGTTCGAGACTTTTGTTTAGACCGCGTTTAATGCACAGTTGCCGCTTTTGTAATAAAAATGCAAATGAAGACTGGAGTCACTTAAGTTGCATGCGCCAGAAGGCAGCTTTTTTTGAAGGTAAATGATTAACCGCTTCAATTAGCGGTAATTTGCGTTGTTTACAGGATGGTCGATGGTTGTTTTGTGCTGGCGTGATTGGAGAGAAGATTTCAAATACTAATTCTCTTTATAATCAAATTTATAAAATGCAAGAGTTGTTTACGTTTAATTTCACAAATGCAGGATTGAAATTTTTGCGTGTCAGGGCGATTTATTGATTTAGTAACGCTTTTTTAAGGTTTGCATACATCAGTTTCTGGTGTAATGTTCGAGGAGACAGCAATGGTTATCACCGATATGTTTCCAACTTTATGCGTTGGTTGGGACACGTGTTACTTTACATCGACAACAAAAGGTGAATTTATAAAGCCCACAGTCAATAAAATTATCAATAAAAATATTTTTGATTACATAGATAGGTGATGGTGACATAAAAAGTTATAGCTATAGAGTCACTGTGAATCATCTTCAAGAACGAGTTAAAATTGCCGTTATGTCAGAATTTCTAATGATTAATGCCTCCGTCCTTTAAGGTGAGTTCTGTTGTGGATGATGTCCCTCAGGATTCTCCGTAAGTGACGGATCGTTCCCATCGGGCTGAGCCGATTGTTTACAGAGAAATACCATTAGGGAAATTTCAATTAGCACCCATGGTCGATTTGCGCCAGCCCGCAAGTTGATTTCGCGTTATGGGTTGATTTATGGTACTTCCCAATTTAATTTATGGAAGTCGTAAAATAGGGGTACAATGTCCGTCTCTGATTTCGTCCGATAATTTT